TTTGATCCCCGTACCTCTATATGTAATCAGGAGGTCCAGAAGATCATCCATTTACAGAATATAGCACATCAAATGCCAGACGCATTTACTGATTTGAAAAGGATAACTAAGTCACATATCCCAGCAGAGAANAATTGGCCAAAATGGCAAGAGGCAATTCAATTGGAATTAAAGTCACTTGCTAAAAGAGAGGTCTTTGGACCAGTTGTCTAAACACCTGTTGGTATAAAACCAGTTGGTCATAAATGGGTTTTTGTGCGAAAAAGGAATGATAAAAATGAAGTTGAAAGATACAAAGCTCGCGTTGTTGCACAAGGATTCTCACAACGACCTGGAGTCGATTTTGATGAAACATATTCACCTGTTATGGATGCCATAACATTTCGATATCTCATCAGTTTAGCACTGCATGAAAAGCTTGAAATACATCTAATGGATGTAGTTACAGTTTATCTGTACGATTCACTTGATAATGAAACTTATATGAAAATCCCTGAAGGATTTAAAATGCCTGAAGCGAATTCAAAATCTCAGGAAATTTATTCAATTAGATTACAAAGATCTTTGTACGGTTTAAAGCAATTTGGGGGCATGTGGTATAATCGCCTTAGTGAATATTTGCCGAAAGAAGGTTACATAAATGATGTTATTTGTCCATGTATTTTTATAAAGAAAATGACATCAGAATTTGTTGTATTTGCTGTTTATGTTGATGACATAAATCTCGTTGGAACTCCAGAAGAGCTCCAAAAGGCAATTGAATATCTTAAGAAAGAATTTGAGATGAAAGATCTTGGAAAGACAAAACTTTGTCTTAGTCTACAAATTGAACATTTAGCAGACGAGATCTTTATCCATCAATCTGCCTATACAGAAAGGGTCTTAAAACGCTTTTACATGGACAAAGCGCACCCATTGAGTACACCAATGGTTGTTCGATCACTTGAAGTGAATATGGATTTGTTCCGACTTCCAGGAGAGGACGAGGAACTCCTTGGTCCCGAAGTACCCTATCTCAGTGCAATTGGTCCACTAATGGATCTTGCTAATGCTACAAGGCCCGACATAACATTTTCTGTTAATTTACTAGCAAGATATAGTTCTTCTCCTACACGGAGATATTGGAACGGGATTAAGCATATATTGCGATATTTAATGGGAACTCTTGATATGGGTTTGTTTTATGCTAACAAAGATAGTGCAGATCTTGTTGGTTATGCAGATGCATGTTATTTATCTGATCCCCGTAAAGCTCGATCTCAAACCGGGTACGTATTTACATATGAAGGTACTGTCATATCATGGCGCTCCACAAAGCAATGTATTGTTACTACATCTTCAAATCACGCTGAAATAATTGCTATTCATGAAGCAAATAGGGAATGCGTATGGTTGAGATCAATAATTCATTTTATTCGAGAAAAATGTGGTTTGGAATGTGAGAAAAGACCCACAATTTTATACGAAGACAATGCTGCATGCATAGCCCAATTAAAGGGAGGATTTATAAAAGGAGATAGAACGAAGCACATTTCACCAAAATTATTCTACACACACGATCTTCAGAAAAGTGGTGACATTGATGTGCAACAAATCCGTTCAAGTGATAATCCAGCAGATTTATTCACTAAATCTTTGCCAACTTCAACTTTTGAGAAGATGGTATACAAGATTGGAATGCGGAGACTCAAATATTTGAAACAAGGTTTTCATCAGGGGGAGTAAAATACGCGATGCACTCTTTTTCCCTTACTAAGGTTTTTTCCCATGGGGTTTTCCTTATAAGGTTTTTAATGAGGCACCTAGCAATGCGTATTACTAAATATGTGTACTCTTTTTCCTTCACTAGGATTTTTTCCCACGTGGTTTTTCCTAGTAAGGTTTTAATGAGACACATTATCTTTTAATGAACATCCAAGGGGGAGTGTTATAAATATATTATATTATGGATGTTCATTTAGTACTCCGTTGTAAATAAGCTTCCTGAAGAAGCTTATCCATATGGGATTCCGCCGTAAATGTATTTATCTATTTAGTATTCTATTGGAAATAAGCTTCCTGAAGAAGCTTATCACTTCGGTACCCGGTTATGGATAAACATTACCCCCGGTAGAAGATTATCCATACCGGGTATAATAAGCTTATCCTTTCGATACTCCGTTATGGATAAACATTATCCATACCGGGTACAATGAGCTTATCCTTTCAGTACTCCGTTATGGAATCATTACCCCTAATAGAAGATTGTCTATACTGGGTACAATGAGCTTATCCATTCAGTACTCCGTTATGGATAAACATTGCTCTCAGTAGAAGATTATCGATATCTGGTATAATAGCAGCTTACACGACAGCTTACAGTAGCAGTTTACACAACAACTTACTCTCTTCTATGAATAGAAGAGATTTCAGTTCATTATGTACATCAGTTTGAATCAGAATAATATATCAGTTTCTCTCTATACTTGTCTTTACTTTACTGTCTTTATTTTATAACAGTTTTGATGTTTTACAGGCATTTATCTCTTTTTAACTTTTTCTTCCTTTTGACTCTGTGTGGTATGTCCCGTTTTGTATACATATAGTTCATCATTTAACTAGGATGTCTTCACTTTTATAGTCACTTGGTTGTCATAGTCGATTTAACTTTCCTTTTTTGAGTTCAATCATTTTGTTTGAAGTGTTCCCCTGATATTTGCAGCTGTGCAGTGGGTACAGGAGGAGAAAATCACACTGTTCACTGCTGATGGACTGATTCAAATTGGGGGCAACATGGTCCCGCGACAAATGTCTTCCTTTGATGTATGCTTATTTTTCCCCCATTTGGGGAGGAAACATTAGTTCTATCACTGTTTTATCTTGCCGTATCTGAGCAAAAAGGCATAATTGAATATTCATTTTTTTTTTTTTGATTTGCATCGGGTGTTCGAGTCTCTATGAGCCCCGACTAATCCCGGGAATGTACAAGCCCTCGGCAAGGAATTTCCCGCAAGTGCACCACGGTTAATTCAGGTTTTACCCAGTCCGATGACCCTCAGAAATTGTTTGCACCCAGTGGGTTTCGAACTTGAGACCTTGAAAGGGAGCATACCCCAAGGCTCAAGTCAATTGCCACTAGGCCAGCCCCTGAGGGTTCTATTTTCTTGTAACAATTATAGCTCATTCATTGGATCTCTCGACATTGTTAGGTGTATTAGTTTATTCTATTTTGGAAGATACACAACATACTTGTAAAATTGATTAAGCCTGCAGTTTGTAGAAGTTAATAAAACACATCTCATAATCTACATATCTTCTTGGCATACTCCTTGCTCCCCTCTTCCGTACTTAATCTACTCCTTTAATAAGGACAGTTGCTTCTGCAAATGATTATGCACAGGTCGTCTGATATTTTATTTTGACATGCAGAAGAAGCAGGGAAAATTGAAAGCGTCTCCAAGATTTCAACGATTTCGCGAGAGCAGTTACATGGATCCAAATCAAGGCCTCTGTTTGGGTGCTCTCTTTGACATCGCAGCAACTAATGTAAAATTTCTGCTACTTGTTGACTTTTATTATTCAAGGTTTCATTTCATCTTAATGAGAGATGGAATTGATAAATATTCCAGGGCCTTGACATGGGCAGGAAACTCTGCATAATTGGTTTTTGCCGTTCTATAGAGATGTTGAGTGATGTCGTGGAAGACACTGTTCTGGAGCACGGTGGTGAGGTAGATCCACTTATATCTTTATTTGTTTATTTAGGCTGTGATCCTTTCATGTACCATTTTGATTGCAATTGCATGATAGGCACAAGCCTGCCTTGCTCTGTTCCTTTGTGAATCCACTGCATATATGATCATCTCGTAAAATCTATTTATCGGCCTGCTTTTGTACATCTTGACCTTTAGTCCTATTGTAGGCTTTAGATCAACATATTTAGGCCTCAAATATCATTGGCCATCAATTACCCAAGTCAAAAACTTCAATTCTATTTTGTTTATCAATAGAACTAATACGTGGAGATGTTTTGTGGAGATGTTTGGAGGCTAGAGGTGTACCTGTTGCCTACGTTAGGTTGATTAAGGACATGTATGATGGAGTAAAGACTCGAGTGAGGACGGTGGATGGAGACTCGGACCATTTTCCGGTTATGATGGGGTTGTATCAGGGGTCAGCACTCAACCCTTTTTTGTTTGCTCTGGTGATGGACGTACTGACGTGCCACATCCAAGGGGAGGTGTCGTGGTGTATGTTATTTGCAGATGATATTGTATTGATTGACGAGACGCGAGACGGCGTGAACGTACAATTAGAGGTATGGAGGCAGACCCTGGAATCTAAAGGTTTCAAGTTGAGTAGGACCAAGATAGAATACTTGAAGTGTAAGTTCAGTGGCGAGACTCAAGGAGGGGAAGGGGAGGTGAGGCTGGACTCGCAGGTCATCCCGAGAAGAGGGAGTTTTAAGTACCTTGGGTCTATTATTTAGGGTGATGTGGAGATTGATGAAGATGTCACACATCGTATTGGGGCGGGATGGATGAAATGGAAACTCGCTTCCGGGGTTTTGTGTGACAAGAAGGTGCCACCGAAACTTAAGGGTAAGTTCTACAGAGTGGTAGTCAGACCAACGATGTTGTATGGGGCTGAGTGTTGGCCAGTCAAGATCGCTCATGTCCAGAAGATGAAGGTAGTAGAGATGAGGATGTTGAGATGGATGTGCGGTCACACCAGGTTAGATAGGATTAGAAATGAGGTTATTCGCGACAAGGTGGGTGTGACCCCTATTGAGGACAAGATGCGGGAAGCGCGGCTTAAGTGGTTTGGTCATGTGAGGAAGAGGAGCACAGACTCCCCGGTGAGGAGGTGTGAGAGGTTGACATTGGAGGGCCTACAGAGAGGTAGAGGTAAGCCAAAGAAAAGGTGGGAGAGGTGGTTAGGCAAGACATGGCTCAGCTTAAGCTGATCGAGGACATGACCCTTGATAGGAAGATATGGAGGTCGAGGATTAGGGTAGTAGAGTAGGTAGTCTAAAGGGTTCATAACAGTAGTATTGCACGCAATCTTGCTTTTTGTTGGTAGTAGGTTTTTATGACTTATCGTTGTTTTCTTTCATTGTTGATCACATTACTGTCTTGTTATTTTTATTCTACTTTTATATGACTTTTTGGTACTGTCCCTTCTTGTCTATATTTTTACTAATGTGGTGCTTATACTTTCCTGAGCCGAGGATCTACGTACACACTACCCTCCCCAGACCCCACGGTGTGGGATAATACTATGTTGTTGTTGTAATAGAACTTAGTCGTCATTCTTTTCTTATCTGGTTGACTTGTGAATACATTTTCTAGTGGAGAACTCTTTCTAATAGGAAAGAAAAATGAAAAGGAGAGTGCAGTGTTCTAATTATACTTGTAAATTGCAGCTGTAGTGTTATTCCTTACTTAATGAGGTCACTTGCTTTGTTTACTTAAATAATAGCCAAGAATGTTTTAGTGAGTTGGATTTTGTTGGGTGGCATAATTCCGAGAAACTAATAAGAGTATATCCAGATATAGAAAATTCAATTGGGGATCATATCTAAAGTTTCTTCTGGTATAACTCCTGAGGAAGTCCACATAAGATATCAAACAGCCCTCCCCCTCCCCCCGACACACACACCCCTACAACAAAGGAAAAAGAAGCTACCGTTGAAGCTAGTGAGATCGACCTAGGCTAAGGGGTGTTAATTGACATCCCTTCGCCGGAAAATTATACTGTGTAGCTAGGTCAAAAATTGATTTTTATGTATATATACTATATGTTGAATCCCATAGCTTCTTCATATATTTACTTCTTTATATTTTGACAACCCTTAGTGAAATTTCTGGTTCCGCCATTGGCTATGACCTATTATGAAAGCATTAATATTGGTCAACTTATCAAGCCAGGTAATTCATGAACATAAACAAGGAATCCTGGGACTTATTTAAGACATTTTCTTAAACTAATCACAAGACTCACCATCACCCTGCATTAAACAAACATTAAGGTACCAAAAATAAGCGTAGTTACTGTGTCATCGCTTCTTAGCTATATGTTTGAAACAAAGAAGTCCTAGGAAGGTGTTCTTGCAATTTCTTGATATTTCTTGTTCTTTTGGTAGTTGGATTATGCCGCTTTGATTACCCATTTAAGTTGTCTGTTGACATCTAGTCACTTTCGCGCTGGTTGCCTCTTTGGTTGTTCAATATGGAATTTCATATCGAGTCTTTGTGCTAGTACTCAAACTTTCATAAAACTGCTCTTTGCTGATTTGTCAAAACATGTTCTTTTAACCGCTAAATGTTCAATTAGGCGTCACTGTTCTCTTTATTAGGGAATTCATCACTTATTATTACGGCTTGAGAAATTACCTTTTCATGCTACAGATTGTCTCTGCGGAGAAAGCCAGGAAGGGTGATTTGCAGGAAAAGCTAACCATGACTGTCGCAGTGCCGCTACTTTGGGGGGTTCCTCCTGCATCTGAAACAATCCGCCTTGCAGTTCGAAATGGTGGAGGCATTGTAGATAAAGTTTACTGGCGATGGGACTTCCTGTAGATAAATATGTGAGCTCCCTGGCCTTTGTGTATTTGTAAATATAATTCTTCTTTGTACAAAATTGGAGAATGTAGCTTAACCTGTAAACACTGGATGTTAAAAATAGTCCATCCATTATTCCGAATTGTAAATTACCTGTCTATAAAAATTTAAGTTGAATTACTTTGGAAATCTGTCATGTTCATAAATTTGAAGCTAAAGATCCTTCAGGTTGTAGGGCAACTGTTAAGTTCCAGCTTTCTATATATTTAAGTTGAACTAATACTACCTGTTCACAAATCACATATTTCCGTCACCTCCTGCTAAATAGAAAATTAAAAAGTTTTGTCCAGTACATTGTAATGATTCTTTTTGTATAGACAAAATGTGGCAATTATATAACTGTACAAATAGGTGCTACTTGATAAACGGTATTAAGAAAAACTCAACAATAAATATTCTTTTGTCTTTTCGAGTGATAACTAGTTAGGTGTGTTACACCTTTTGCAAATTAGAGAAGACATTCTTAATCCTTAGAGAACCATTTCCCCAGAGATTTAAGGCACATGATGTTCTTTTAAATAAACTGATGACATAAACCCATTACATGTATCTGTTATAGTATTATAATATGCAGAAGCTGACAAAAATGGGTTAAGAGGTCAATGCATTCTTCTTTACTAAATGAGTAACTAAATTATACAGCATAGGCAAAGATCAAAATGTTTTGGATGTTTTTGGACTGCTTCCCTATGAGGATTCCCTTTACACTTGCTTCTAATCTGACATGAATTTCCACTTTTTTTTACAAAGATCTGAGTTTCCACCTTCTATAATTATGTCTTTTCTACCTCCCATTTGATTACTTTTATGGCAGATGAATCATATAATGGAATCAGAATTATTCACAAAAGTCTAACAAAATTTTCTTTTTTTGGGTTTTGGTAGTATTAATTAGTGTTACAATTGAAAATTAACCGGCTTTGTAATTTTTTTTTGTCATTATCTAAGCACCCGTCTTAATCAGCGGCGTCCATCTAGTTTGCACTAACAACTCGTGGCATGACTCACTCCTTTTTTTTCTTTATAAAGAAAAAGATATGCTTTGCATGAAATATGCATTTTGGATTTGGAGCATCTCAATCATTGAACAATTAAATGGTTTAAACAAGAGACGATCGTGATGTTACGATCAACATTCACTAGAAAATGTTATGACAAGCACGTAACAAGATGTATATGATAATCACACAGTATAGACAATAAAAAAAGATTAACACAAAATTTATGAGGTTCAATTACAATACCAAGAACTCTCAATTCCTGTTTCTTTGTATTTTTTTACATCTCAAATTCCAAGCCATCTACTATCAATATAATTACACAAACCTCATAAAATATTCACTTGGCGCGCAAGCTTTTTTGACTGATCTGTAATTGAGCTTATTAAAAGATATACAAAATTCAAACCCCACATTAACGGAAAATATCAAGACAATGACTTCGCTCGAATTGAAGTTATATGCATTAACAGTGGTAATTTATATTTTGACAATCACATGACCTATAAAATAATTACATGTAAATCTCTATTATAACAACAAACCCAGTATATACATTCCCATAAGTGGATTTGGAGAGGGTAGTGCATACACAAACCTTAAATCTTTATAATAAGTGTTACGAAATAATTGGTAACTTACTTATTATAATAGATTAAACTATAGTAATGGTGTAAAAAATTGATGTATAGAACTCAAATTCAAATGGTTGCAGCTGTACTAATACATCAATTACCAAAAAGAATGCACAAACTAAAGTTTTTAACTACAAATTCATATCTGTCCGGTTTTCATCATGAAAGAAGTTGTTATAGATGCTAGTAGTGCTAATTAGCTGACTAATATGTCTCCTCCAAACTACACTCTAATTGATTTTCCTCATCATAACTACCCTTTCCGCTTGGCATTCCTTAAGCATAACTATTAGTAGTACTACCATTTGTAGTTATTCTATTTCTCATCTACTCCATTATATATATAAGTAACTGATAATAGGCTATAATTACGTATTTTAGTCGATTATTACACTCTAATTTACTGCACTTTAGTTGAGTTTGCGCTTTAATCGCTAGTGTTTTGCACTAATTGTGTGTTTTATGCCTTGTAGGTGTGATTCCGAGTTATATAGATGTTATGTAATGAATTTAAGTGGTTTGGAGCTTTGAAGTCTGAGTAATAGCTCAAGGAATTAAGCCGGGATCGCGTTCAGGGATCAACGGATGATAAAACAACAAAACGAAAACTCGAAGATGCATATTGCGTACTGTCTAGTAAAATAGACATACTTTTTACTCAGAACTCTATTTGAGCTCCACAATATATGGTTGGAAAGCTAACTCAAAGGGCTACAACTTTCATGTTTTACGATTTTCCAAATTCCAAACGGAACAGGGTCAAAAATCGCGACCGCGGCAGAACCGCGGCAGAGGGCAGTCGCGGACAATTGAAGAATCTGAGAGGGTGTTTGGCCGCGGTTCCGGCGCGACCGCGGTGGAACCGCGGCAGGATGCGTAAATTTTAGGGACCAAAGTGTAAAACACGGGATTTTAAGCCCTAAACCGTATATTAAACCAAGGAAGCCGTCCAAGAAAAGGAAAGAACATATTTTTGACATAGGTTTGACCTAAGGAGGCAGAGACACAATATGAGCAAGGCTTGGGAATTCTTCTACAAGTTTTTT